TATGTATGTATGTATGTATGTATGTATGTATGTATGTATGTATGTATGTATGTATGTATGTATGTATGTATGTATGTATGTATGTATGTATGTATGTATGTATGTATGTATGTATGTATGTATGTATGTATGTATGTATGTATGTATGTAATGTATGTATGTATGTATGTATGTATGTATGTATGTATGTATGTATGTATGTATGTATGTATGTATGTATGTATGTATGTATGTATGTATGTATGTATGTATGTATGTATGTATGTATGTAATGTATGTATGTATGTATGTATGTATGTATGTATGTATGTATGTATGTATGTATGTATGTATGTATGTATGTATGTATGTATGTATGTATGTATGTATGTATGTATGTATGTATGTATGTATGTATGTATGTATGTATGTATGTATGTATGTATGTATGTAATGTATGTATGTATGTATGTATGTATGTATGTATGTATGTATGTATGTATGTATGTATGTATGTATGTATGTATGTATGTATGTATGTATGTATGTATGTATGTATGTATGTATGTATGTATGTATGTATGTATGTATGTATGTATGTATGTATGTATGTATGTATGTATGTATGTATGTATGTATGTATGTATGTATGTATGTATGTATGTATGTATGTATGTATGTATGTATGTATGTATGTATGTATGTATGTATGTATGTATGTATGTATGTATGTATGTATGTATGTATGTATGTATGTATGTATGTATGTATGTATGTATGTATGTATGTATGTATGTATGTATGTATGTATGTATGTATGTATGTATGTATGTATGTATGTATGTATGTATGTATGTATGTATGTATGTATGTATGTATGTATGTATGTATGTATGTATGTATGTATGTATGTATGTATGTATGTATGTATGTATGTATGTATGTATGTATGTATGTATGTATGTATGTATGTATGTATGTATGTATGTATGTATGTATGTATGTATGTATGTATGTATGTATGTATGTATGTATGTATGTATGTAATGTATGTATGTATGTATGTATGTATGTATGTATGTATGTATGTATGTATGTATGTATGTATGTATGTATGTATGTATGTATGTATGTATGTATGTATGTATGATGTATGTATGTATGTATGTATGTATGTATGTATGTATGTATGTATGTATGTATGTATGTATGTATGTATGTATGTATGTATGTATGTATGTATGTATGTATGTATGTATGTATGTATGTATGTATGTATGTATGTATGTAATGTATGTATGTATGTATGTAATGTATGTATGTATGTATGTATGTATGTATGTATGTATGTATGTATGTATGTATGTATGTATGTATGTATGTATGTATGTATGTATGTAATGTATGTATGTATGTATGTATGTATGTATGTATGTATGTATGTATGTATGTATGTATGTATGTATGTATGTATGTATGTATGTATGTATGTATGTATGTATGTATGTATGTATGTATGTATGTATGTATGTATGTATGTATGTATGTATGTAATGTATGTATGTATGTATGTATGTATGTATGTATGTATGTATGTATGTATGTATGTATGTATGTATGTATGTATGTATGTATGTAATGTATGTATGTATGTATGTATGTATGTATGTATGTATGTATGTATGTATGTATGTATGTATGTATGTATGTATGTATGTAGTATGTATGTATGTATGTATGTATGTATGTATGTATGTATGTATGTATGTATGTATGTATGTATGTATGTATGTATGTAATGTATGTATGTATGTATGTATGTATGTATGTGTGTAATGTATGTATGTATGTATGTATGTATGTGTGTATGTATGTAATGTATGATGTAGTGTAACGTAATGTAATGCAATATAATGTAATGTATGTATGTATGTATGTATGTAATGTGTGTATGTATGTAATGTATGTATGTATGTAATTTATGTAATGAACGTATGTAATGTATGTAATGTATGTAATGTGTGTAATGTGTGTAATGTAATGTAATGTAATGTAATGTAATGTAATGTATGTATGTATGTATGTATGTATGTATGTATGTACGTAATGTATGTATGTATGTATTTATGTATGTATGTATGTATGCATGAATGTAATGTACGTAATCAATGTAATGTATGTAATGTAATGTAATGTATGTAATGTATGTAATGTATGTAATGTGTGTAATGTATGTAATGCATGTAATGTATGTAGTGTATGTAATGTAATGTATCTATGTATGTATGTAATGTATGTATGTATGTAATGTAATGTAATGTAACGTATGTATGTATGTATGTAATGTATTTATGTATGGTATGGTATGGTATGGTTTGGTATGGTATGGTATGTAATGTATGTATGTATGTAATGTATGTACGTATGTATGTATGTATGTAATGTAATGCAATGCAATGTAATGTAATGTAATGTAATGTAATGTAATGTATGTATGTATGTAAATGTAATGTAGTGTAATGTAATATACTGTAATGTAATGTAATGTAATGTAATGTATGTGTGTATGTATGTATGTAGTGTATGTATGTATGTATGTATGTATGTGATGTGATGTGATGTGATGTGATGTGATGTGATATAATGTATGTATGTATGTAATGTATGTATGTATGTATGTATGTAATGTATGTGTGTATGTATGTATCTATGTATTTATGTATGTAATGTAATGTAATGTAATGTAATGTAGTGTAATGTAATGTAATGTAATGTATGTATGTAATGTATGTATGTAATGTATGTAATGTATGTATGTAATGTATGTATGTATGTATGTATGTATGTATGCATGTATGGTAATGTAATGTAATGTAATGTAATGTAATGTAATGTAATGTAATGTATGTATGTATGTATGTATGTATGTAAGTATGTAATGTATGTATGTATGTAATGTATGTATGTATGTATCTATGTATCTATGTATGTGTATGTATGTATGTATGTATGTATGTATGTATGTATGTATGTATGTATGTATGTATGTATGTATGTATGTATGTATGTATGTATGTATGTATGTATGTATGTATGTAATGTATGTATGTATGTATGTATGTATGTATGTATGTATGTATGTATGTATGTATGTATGTATGTATTTAATGTAATGTAATGTAATGTAATGTAATGTAATGTAATGTACTGTACTGTAATGTAATGTAATGTAATGTAATGTAATGTAATGTATGTAATGTAATGTATGTATGTATGTATGTATGTATGTATGTATGTAATGTAATGTATGTATGTAATGTAATGTAATGTAATGTAATGTAATGTAATGTAATGTATGTATGTATGTATGTATGTAATGTATGTATGTATGTATGTATGTATGTATGTATGTATGTATGTATGTATGTATGTATGTATGTATGTATGTATGTATGTATGTATGTATGTATGTATGTATGTATGTATGTATGTATGTATGTATGTATGTATGTATGTATGTATGTATGTATGTATGTATGTAATGTATGTATGTATGTATGTATGTATGTATGTAATGTATGTATGTATGTATGTATGTATGTATGTATGTATGTATGTATGTATGTATGTATGTATGTATGTATGTATGTATGTATGTATGTATGTATGTATGTATGTATGTATGTATGTATGTATGTATGTATGTATGTATGTATGTATGTATGTATGTATGTATGTATGTATGTATGTATGTATGTATGTATGTAATGTATGTAATGTATGTAATGTACGTAATGTATGTAATGTATGTCATGTATGTAATGTGTGTAATGCATGTATGTATGTATGTATGTATGTATGTATGTATGTATGTATGCAATGAACTGTCATGTACTGCAATTTTATGTAATGTAGTGTAATGCGATGTCATGTTGTGTTATGCTATGTTATGTTATGTTATGTAATGAAATGAAATGTATGTATGTATGTATGTAATGTATGTGGGGCTAGGTAGGTATGTATGTATGTGTGTGTGTTATTGTAGCGCAATGTAATGCCATTGAATTGAGTTCCTAGATTCTTAGATGGCCCGATCATCCATGATTGGCCCGATGGCCCGATGAGCGGAACCTCTAACATTTGGCTCCTCGACGCCTGGCACGGTCGATGGGCAAGAGCATGTAGCCATCAATGGCAGAGTTAGCTCCACCTGCGCAGTTCCTTGGAGCGATCGATGTCAAAATTTGAATGCACCAACAGCGGAGTAGAAACTGGCGTAATGCCTCAGTACCACGACACTACCCATGTCAGTTTGCTGTGTGCCACGGTTTCGTTGTGTAAGTCATGCCAGTCGATGTGCATTGCGGTCAGTTTGTTTACGCCGGGTCACTCGTCGTCGAGTTTCACATGGAGGCCCTTCTTGTTAGATTTAGGAGGTGCCCAGTTCGACCCTCATGTTGTAGGAGCAATCATATGGGGAACAACATCGTATTTGTTTGACCAGGCGCAGGTTTATGGGCGGGGGTACGATATGTATATTATATATGTAGTTGTGTCAGGATTCCTGTTAACCAGGTTGAGCGCGTTCAGCTGTTGCAGATCTCACGTCATTTCCTGACCAGCCGAAGCCGCATCCAGTGTCTTCGTCTCTTTAGACTGCTGTCAAATATCTTGAGACACAGGACGCTGTGCAGCGAAAGTATGACCAAGTGACAAACTACAGTTGGCTATTTTGACGTGCTGTAGTAGGGAATGGTCATCCAATCGGTTTTCAACAAGCAGACGAGCAATTGAATCAATGCCGACCCCGTCAGCACCAGCACCGCTGGCAACGCTGGATCTCCAAGCGGATATCCTCCAACTGCGAGAAGAGCTGCATTTGAATCTTCAGCGACTGGAAAATCGTCTCCAAAGACTCGAGCCGAGCGGGCTGGAGGAGGCACATGTGGCAACAATGCATGTACTGGTCGGCAAGGAGATGGCAATGGCGGCAATGGCGGCAATGAGATGCTGGAGATGCAATGAGATGGTGGAGGAGAAGGATGTGGAGATTCAGCGAGATCTCCGGGATGTGGAACCGAAAGCCAGTGCCATTTCGAGAGATACACCGCAATCTTCCGACGACATGTCGGAGCAAGGCCAGGTTCATTTTGGAGAAAGCGCATGGACTTTTCCTTTTGTCATTGGTTCCTGCCGGTCTGTGGGACGTGACCTTCTCCATTCTGCTGTTGCTATTGAATTTGGGTATGCAAGCAGCATTCACAATCATCATTTCGACGGATGATTTCAAGGGCATCCCATTTTGGCGTCAAATCAACTATGCGAAGCGATGGCGCGTCAGTGTGGCCCACAACCATCAATATTTGGACCTGTCTGGGAGGAGCTTGGTGTCGCGCGTTTGCGCTGTGGATGGGGCATTGATTCTATCCAACACACAAGCCACCCTGGTGGAGCAGATCAACAGCTTCTTGGGATTGCAGGAGGATCAGTTCGAGGCCTCCTTTTTTCAGCCCGGATCCTTGCTTTGCATGCTTTGTATCTCGAAGGGTTTGGTCAGCTTTTGGTCAACTCCACTTTCATTTGGAATGCTCGGTTTGGAAGCGGTGTGGCAGATCCCTCGCTCCAACCATTCGATCTTCCGCAAAAATACCTTGCGCAGAATCTGCAAAGTTCGCTTCATAATTATTTTATTCACATATTTGGCACGCGCAGCCATAGCCGCGCTACTTCTTGGCGCGGGAATTCGGTGGCTTGCTCGTACCACATCCATCACTGATTTGATGCTCAATTGTGTGGCACTGAGTGCAATCCTGGATGTAGACGAGTTTCATGGATTTGAGACAAGTCTGCGTTTTTGGTCATGTCCTTGGGAAATCCTATTTAGTGTCTTTGGTTTGGGGGGATCCCGATGAATCTAAGGTTTCTGTTTGCCAGCTTCACTCCGGTCTCGATCCAAGTGGCGGTCCAGAACTTGAAACCTGTCAAGATGCAGTACGGCCGACAGCGAAGCCAGATTGAGAGCTTCGGCTTGCTGATTCTGCTGATCAGCACGCTGCTGATACCCTACTTTCTCTTATTGCAACCGCTAGCTGAATCGATGATTACCGTGAAAAAAGAGCTCTGTAGTTTTGGCAATCAAACCTTCGTGGTAGGACACAATTCAGAAACCCAGCAAAATCTTGGACTTGTGACCAAAAGCGTCTTCGATGATTCAAATCTCAGCCTGACCGAATTGGCTGTTGACAGCCACAAGTTCAACACAGGATTTGAAGAGCCATACATCCTCTTCTTCGCTGCCAATGCTCGTGCTTTTGACCAGTACCTCAATTGGGACATGGCTGCAGAAGTGTCGGAATGGGGGTTCTGTATCGAAACAGCGATGCAGTCAGGTGGCTCACTATATGGAGATCCTCTCATTCAACCTGTCGTGGGGACGATGCTTCGGATGGCAGGTGCCAGCCTGGGCCGATTGGATCTTGATGACAGGGCTTGTGCCGATTTAAAGTTGGATTGTTCTCTCCCCGATGCACGGCTGCTGCGAATGGTTTGTGGTGCTACCTGTGGATGCAATGATCCTTACGCCTCGGCTTGGCATAAGGTGCCATCGCAGGGGTGTATCCCAGCCTGCTTGCAACACGCCACTGACCAGTTGGCGGCATCAACTTGCGAAGACCAAATCGTGGCAGAGGAGTGGGAACTCTTTTGGAACACCTACCCAGATGCCATCTCTGCCTTTTACAACATTGATGCTAGCCAGTCGTCCCTCTATCCCTCTGCTGTAAATTTCTCCAATGTCATGAAGATCACGGGCTGCTCTGCACTGACAAACCCGAGCTTTCAGTTTGAAATTGTGTCACGCACGCGTTGGTGTGAAGGCAACCCGAAGTTGTTTCGGCCCCTGGCTGGGCAGTGTCCTGTATCTTGTGGCTGTGTTGGGGCAAGTCCCTTGCCAGTGTATTGTCCCAGCAGCTGCGAAGCAGCTGTGACATCTGCATGA